TGCGCACCAGTGCCGAAGTTTTGTTTTCAATCACCATTTTGTTTTGTCAATTTCTATCTATATTAACATCACAGTACACTTTTAATATTTCCAATGTCTTTCTGACTTCATCTTTTCCATCTCATAAGAGAAGTCTCGAGGCAACACCACATGTTTTGGGCATGTCAATGTGTGCGCATTCTAATACAAAATTCAGCACAAATAGCTATAATAAAAAACATATTAAATTGATTAAATAAATTTCAGTGCGGCACTGATTTTTACCAGTGCCACACTGGAATTTTTTTCTAGAGATGTTATTACGAAACTGTAGAGAGAGAAAATCATGATTAATTTTAATCGTGATTAAGGCTGTAGTGTGACCGTAGTGTAAGCTACTATCGGACTCCGTGAGAAATATCTTTCTCTCTTTTTGAGTTCTGAGAATCTTAAAAATGAATGGGAAGATAGGTCATCAATCGCGCAGTTGATTGAATTGCCATATTACTGACAGAAAAATAAAGTTCATTTAGAGCCATGGAAAAGTGCTTTTTCGTATTCAGCACACTGTGGATTGTTCATTTTAGGCGGAGGATAGACATAATGAACTTTATTTTTTTCTTCGCGTTGATATGAATTAACACTTTATTTTTTTCATGCAATGGAAATTTCGCCTGTTTTCATTCATAAAGGTACGCTACTTGTAGGTAGTGGTTGGGACTGGATTTTTTCGTAGATCATGTCCCTCGATCTTTACAGTCAGCATTCATGCGAACGTTTACCAAAAAAATTAAAGTACTGCAGGACAATACACTTCTGTATGACAATAAAGGAGAAGTTCGGAGATATCTTCTTTTTATATAAAGTTTTTTTATTTTAATTGAAACGATGGGAAAACTGAGGTTAAGAAAAAACGTTATATGAATGAAAAAAATGAAATTTCTGTATATTCAAATCAAGTCTAATCTTAGGTACAAAGACATTGGTAAACAGTTTTGGATTTAAACATTGACCTAATAGTATTTGAGTTCCTGTTTTCTTTTTATTTCTGTTCTGTTATGATTACTGGAATTTTCACTATTGAGACCTCTCTACGTTTCTTTGTATATGTAAGTAATTTGTTAAAAGTCATATTAACAACTGAACGTCAAAAAACTAAATATATTAAGAAAGTGCTGAATTTATTTGTGTGTTATTAGAAATATTGGTAAAAGGAAACGGACGCAATGACAAAGGATGAATAAAAGATGTCGAAGAACGACTATAAAATTTTTCTATAGAAATACATACGAATAGTTGCGGGGAATGCAGGGAGAACACTAAATAACGGAAGAAATAAGAAAAAGAGAAATGACAATTTTTCCGTTGTATACTTTTAGATCTTCTCAATATTTAAAACAGACATCCACAATATTGAAAAATCACACATAATATGTCATACGGTTAGTATACGTTCATGTAAAAACTTTTTAAAAATTAAAATTAAAAAGAGAGATTTTTCAATTGTTCAATTTATATTAGATCTGCTTTTGAGACAAGAGGGAAACACCTGAATGAAATCAGCCCAAAATCAGTCAAAAATCACCCAAAATCAATTGATTTTAAGTGATTCTCAGCGATCCTCTGTGATTCTCTGTGATTTCCAATGACTTCAGTCATTTCTGGTGACTTTTCATTTGGCGAAAAGCGGGAAAATCCCAAAAGCAGCTGTTTCCTCCTTGTTTTGAGACCAAATTCATCTTATTCTGAAATTCTATCTTTTGTCATACTGTGTAAATACTTTTCTTAGGTGACAACTTTGTACGATTATTAGGCGCAGGAGAACAGATTTACCACTATGAACAAGTCTATTATGGAAATCAGACATTAGTAAATGCATTGACGTTTAAGGTGAATGAAAATGATCCTGATCTTACAGAATTAGTAGCTCGCGAAGCATTATTACAATTATACCATGAATACTATGTTGTACTTGGTTATGAAATTGTTTATTCATCGAAGCACAATAGTTTAGTTTACGTTCAAAAATCCAAAGAACAAGCTGAAAATGATCTTCTATCGAATCTAAAATATGTAAAAGTAAGCATAATTATTCATTCAAATCTCAGTTTAATAGCAGACATTGAAATATATGAAGATATTCATTCGTAAAAATAGCCTATTAATCATAGTAACTTTATGCAATTTTGATCAATAAAAAGCATTAACAATTAGTTTCATTAGTCCGTCTTGATTTTACAAGTTTATTATTTTAGATTAAAAAGTAAATTAAATATATTATTTCTAGGATGTAAGTTGGACCGTGATATTTGAAAAAGAAATAAATACACCCTTTGATCCAAATATTCTTTCACGATGGTCTATCATTAAACAAGATAGTAGTCATTACATTTTAATATTATCATGCCATCATGCTATTGTTGATGCAAAATGTTCTTATTATATCGGATGTAAGTATTTATCATTATGTTTAAATATAAATGATAAACATCCTATTAATAATAATACAAATACTCATTTAAACCCAATGGAAATATATCTATTTAATAAATATGAATATGAAAAAATTACATGTCAATTTCAATTACGTAATAAACGTTCTCAAATTATTACAGATTCAACACATGTTCAATGTTTTTTAACATGTGAAGGAACGATAGATATTCTTAAATCAAAATGTCATTCATACAATTTGAAAATGAATGGTCTATTATCATTGGTTACATCGTACGGATATTATTTAACAAAAAATTATATAGATGAAAAATCAATTAAAATTCATATGATGGTTAATATTCGACCATTTATTTATTTACCATTTAATCAAAGTGGAATGTTTGTAACCGTTTTTGATGATTCAACAAATATTCCAAGTAATAATATGGAAATATCAGCATTATGGAATAATGCTAAAAATCTTTCAGTTAATTTACATCATCGAATAAACAACAAGGAATATTATAATAATTTAAAAAATGATACTGATTTACTAAAAATGATTTATAAAAATGAAACAACTTTATCAGACGTTGATTTTGCATTTAGTAATCTTGGATTATTGCCTAATGAAGAAAAACGAATAGATGGACAATATTTTGCTGTATCATTACCAGAAAATCGTTGGACATCTCATATTCTAGTTGGAGTAGGAACAGTGAATAATCAAATTTGTTGGACAATCTCTTATAATGCAAAACATATTACGAAGGAATTTGTTCAAAAATGGCAAAAAAATATTCAGAATATAATTGAACAAGTAGTGTTCAATACACAGAATAACGAATAAATTTATATTAATTCAAAAACGACTCTTCGACTGTTTAATATAAATGTTATACGCGCGCTAGAGAGAGAAAGGCAGAGAGAGAGAGAGAGACAGTGATTTAAGAATTTTTAACGATTCATTAAACCGCCGTAAAATATAAAATATAAAAAAGCAAAAACATTTTTCACATAAGAACATATACATATCGAGAATATAACGCAACCAATTAAAGGGCTGAATTACGAATCTTAAATGACTTATTGGTAAACAAACAAATGCAAATGTACTATACATCGATTCCATTTGATTTTAGTGTTAAAAGTGATATGAAATATTGTTGAGCTTCGTAAACAATTCTTGCTCCAGGACCATATGGTATACCAAGACTATGTAATTTTCTTTCACTAATATACGGTAATTCATAAATACCAATTTTTTCTTGTTCAAGTGCAGAAGCATATTCCTAAATAATGATGAAATAAAAAAAGAATAAATGTTATTGAGTGAAATTTTCTAGACGCTAAGAAATTTACCTCATAACCAAGTAAACTTAGAAAATATCGTAACATTGTTTCTGTACCAAAAAATCTAGAAAGAAAAAATAGAAACAAATGTTATTGTCATATTTCTTCCGAGAAATAAAGTTAGTACATGTTATTCAAACAAATGAGACGAACTGTTCAATTTTTCTTGCTTGTCTTGGATCAATAACAGAATTTGAACGTTGAATGGTACTTGTTGATGGCATATAAGATGTAGAAAGATTTAAAGGTGTACTCAAACGATGAACATTAGCATTTATTAAACGTGATTGAGGTGTCGATGATGAGCCAGCTGATTGTTGACGATACATTTGTTGTCTCAAATCGGCTACTTCATTGCGTAAATGGTAAATATCATCTTTCATGACACGTTGAAGTTGAATTTGTGCCGATAATTTGGCGATACTTTCAGCTAATGTTACAATTGATGATTCAATACGAGTGAATCGTTGATTTACTTCTCTAGAAAAAAATTTACAAACTATCTAATGATAAAAATATAATAATAATAGTATTTATACCTCATATCAGAGTTCGCATAACGAATAGATGGCATCACTTTACGAAATCGGTGTTTTTTAGATAATATTCCGGGATGATCTTGCTGAGATGATGTACTTGATTTGATACTACTTCTAATGGATTCAATATCAACATCAAGTAATTTTAGTAAATCGTTATACATTAATTGTAAATCTAAAAGTAAAAAAACGATTCAAACATAAAAATGTAGAAGAGATGACAGAAAATTATACCCGTTAATTGTTTTCGTATCTGTAAAACTTCTTTTGAGCTCAAACTTGAACTATGGCGTGTCATATTTGGCGTCGATGTTCGCATACCCGGATGTTTTCGTAATTTTGAATCACTAAATTCGCTCGTTAAGTCACTCCATCCATCACTACCTAGATCACTGATCTGATTGCCATGACGTCGAGCTATTCCTTAAAAAATCATGTTTACTGAAGTTTTAGCTTATAATAACAGGAAAGTTATTTATCATTAACGTTGAGTGAGTTTTTTATCTATAGCATAGCATCTAGTCCTAGCTTAAAAGTTACAGATTCATAAAGAAGTTGTACGATTATGCGTAGCGCAAACGGTATAGCACTACCAGTGTTGAAAACTATACCTCCTTCTAATTGACAACGGTATGACAACACTATATGTGTTAGTTGGGGTCTGTTTTAACGCGATTAACCTATAAAAATGAGGTAGAATGCCGAAAATAGAATAACGAATAATTATTTTGAAACGAAATAGAAAGACTACCTACTATAATAAAGACTATTTAACAGTCGCCACATCACCGTTCTGCCTGCCTAGGAGTTGGTACCCGACCGATTTAAAAAAGTAGAGTTGTTTCGAAGGTTTCTTGATCTATTATACTTCTACTTACGTGTAGCCGTCATCTGTCGGTATACATGTAAACGAAAGTTTAACTAACTTAAAAAAAGGAATCTTTTACAAACTGGCAACATTAAAATTAAAATACACACATTTGTTTAATAATAATAACAAATGTATATTTCATTGAATTTTTTCTCGCAAAAATAAAGTAGTCCACAGTTAGATGGTTTCTAACAACGGCAAGGTATAAATAGAATTTCAAATCATGCTGCAAACTTTAGAGAAACGAAAAATTACCTCTATACTATTGTCTTAATAGTTTTTGTGGTTATTTTCAACCGATAAAGAACATATCTAACAGATAGCATAGAATATAGACGGGAGATTTTTCCAGGCTTTCACTTTGAAATGTTATAGAGTAGCTAGAAAGACAGCGTTAGATATAACTAAAGAGAGTGATCTATCTTTGACTCATCTCTCAGAATCTGAATTGCTTCTGTCGGAAAGACAAGGAAAAAACTTCTTACCATCATGTTGTTGTGTTGCTTCTTCTTTACTAGGCGGATCTGTTATTGACTCGGAGTCATCTGATTGTTCACCATAATTCTTTAATCTACATGGTGGCCGATGTGCTCTGACATTTTTTCTTCCTGTCAATGTTGATGTCACGGCTTTAATCGAATATTTGTTTCTATGTTTTTTCCAAACACGATTTAGTTCTCTTGTGGCGGGCGAGGGCGGAGGAGTTGAACCGTCTCCCCCGTTTATATCGCTTCGTTTCGTCCCAACCAATGTCGATGTTGAATCTGTTTCATTTTCACCGATGAATTGTGCATGGGATTGCTTCTCTTTTTCAATATAAGCATCATTTAGTTTATCGTTCGTCGTCGATAGATTATTAGCAGCAGAACTCGGCCTTGATCGTGGTTGCTGTTGTTGCTGTTGATGTTGCTGTTGTTGCTGTTGCTGTTGCTGTTGTTGTTGTTGTTGTTGTTGTTGAACATCAACAATTTGAACTCGTGCAGTTTTGTAAATGGGTGGCGGGGAATGAGATGGAGAGCGTTCATTCGAATTTGATCGTTGCTCTACTCGTATAGTATGTTTTTGTGATTCTGAATTACTACTGCTCGATCCTGGTATGATGTATAGTTCACGTGCTTGTAATTGTTCATCAGACGAATTATTTGCTGATCGATATAATGGTTGTTGATCTTGTTGTACAGGACTTTGAATACGTGGATTAACACTGACTTCGGGTAACATTGCCTTGACATTAGTGCCATTCATCATTGATGCTTTTGGTGCGTGATTTTTTCGAGATAATTGCGCTGGACCCTAAAATAAACCAAAAGAAATAAATTACAGTGATTATTTGAAAATCATTTTGTACCTTATTTTCAAATGGTTGTTCATCTAACATAACTGAATTAAAATTAAATACGTCTAATTGATGTAAGTCCGTATCAATACTTTTTGCTTGAGTTTTACGCGCTGTTGTAGGTGTTGGAGTCCGAGACGATGGATTATAATCATTATTAATTGTCGCTATATCATTGGACTTTATTTCTCGCGGTAGAGGTTGTGATTTTATTGATGTAATTGGGTTTGATGTGACAATAGCTGATGATGCGGTGATTGTGGTGGTTGTCGTTGAACGTGCTGATGACACTCGTGAATTGTTGTTGTTTTGCAAGTGAATAACTGTAGCTGCCGGTGTCGCTGGCCGTTTAGTAATTAGTTCCACAGGTAATGGTCCAGCTCCACCGCTCGATGTTCCATAGCCAACGAGACTATGATAAACTGGCGAATGACTATTGCCATTGTGAAGTAAATTCACGCGTGACGTGGATTTTGGTCGAATATTGCGGTTGAACTCTGAATCGTAGCCATACATTGGCGTTGATCTACCATTTATTACAGGTTGATCCTGCCGCAACTTATTTAGAGTTTTGGTTAGTGCTGCATTCACATTTTGTACAGTATCTGTTTGACTTATTCGCAAATTATTATTGCTCTTAAATAAAATAAAATGCTTAACTTTAATAATAAGAGACTTTAAAACACTTACATTTTCATTGCGTTGAGTTGATAAACGTCGTCGATCATTTCTAGAAAATATTTTAGTCGAAATGATAACACAAATAATAACAATGAACTGTCGTTACTCACTGAGTAGGTTGAGCAACTAAAAATTCTTTCACTGGTTTTAATGGACGCTGATTTTGCGATGGTATTGGCTGATTTGGTGGCTAGAACAAAGAAATAATATTAAACACTCATTGACTTTTCTCAATAACTTGCTTACTGAACGTGCTCGAGAATTATTTCCATCTCCTCTAACCCCAAACGATGTTAACGGTGTTCCTTCGGTATAAACTGTATGATATCGTTTTGGTACAGATCCACCGGACGATGAAGATGTAAAAGTTACTTCTGGTCGACGGTTTTCTTTTTCCTTTGAAAAAAAAACAAGACAAATATAATAAAAGTTTGAATAGTGAACAATTTCCCTTTTACCAAAGGCATACACGTGACAACAACTTTTGACTAATTTCGACCACTTATGTAGAGACGAAAAAATATGATTTTTTCCATTTTTTTTGTTAGACAAATGTTTTCTTTTTTTTCATATCCCATAATAAATTTCATATAATGAAATAGAAATATTTTTATGAATAGACACACATCATGTTTGAGTTTATTAATATTGTTTATAAAGAACACTTGAAATTTAAAGTAAAGAAAAAAATGGTGAAGTTTTTTGTTTAGAGAAAAAATTAGTTTATTCTCCTCTTTTGAGCAATTAAAATGTCAATTGTTTGTAAATCGAAAAAAAAAGTAAGAAAACTTTAAAGGACAAAATGGATATAAAATATAGTCAAATAATTTAGATCTAGTTTTACCGATAAAACAGATCATTTAATCGTCGAAGTAGAATACTTTTCAATTATTAACATTCTTAAAATTAAAAAACGAAAAAACTATCTTTTATATATTTTAAGTATTTTGTGGTTGATATGATACGAGTAAAAAAAAAGATTTTTAAGATAAAAAATTTTGCTAATTCAACGGAAATTTTTCGAAAAGATATACTTGAAAGTGTATATAGAACAATAAAAACACTACTATTCAAGAGAAAAGAAAATATTTTGATCATTAGACAATGTAGAAATTAAACAGATAGTTTTTAATAATTCAAAAATAAAACACTTGAATGATTTTGAATTTTGTCATTATTACTCGTCTTTAATAATAAATGTATTTATTTTTTCAACTATATAAAATTACAAAATATCTCTAGATTGTAATACATAATCCATTCAAATGATAATTTTTACAAAAAAGAAACAAAAATTAAAAAATATTATTAGAACATAAATATAAATATAAAAATGACTTACTTTATATTTTTGAAAATCTAGAATAATTGGTTTATTATGTAAAATATGTTCATTATTTGACGTTATAATTCTATTTATACCGTTTCCTGCTGGCATTTAAAAATCGATATTATTAATAAACATCATATTGATAAAATCATGTGATTAAAAATTTTTGTAGGCGATAATGAGAAAAAAAATATATATATATATTTTATTATAATGTTTAATCTATTTTGATTTTTTCTTCTTCTATTTTTTTATTTTAAATCACATGTTGGCATATTATTAACTAAATAGTAATAATTAAAACACAAGACGACGTTGAAAGAAATGATGTAATTTTTTTTTTCCTCAAATTATCGAATTGTTGTGTGAAATAAAGAAAAAACAAATAATCATAGAAAGCGAAATGTGTGCAAAAAAAAAAAAACAACAAAAAAAAGAAAAAAAAACCGAAACCAAAAAAAAATTAACTTTTTGTTTAATATGAAACAAAAAAACGAAAAGCAAAACAATTATACATCAGAAATCAATCCCATGTGTGAAAAGCAGACACTGTCTAACCATTATTTTAGTATTCAACTTTCTTTTTTTTATTTCGAAAAAAACGAAAAAGAAAAGAAGTGTATACTTCTATTATTCTCTTTTTCTTTTCTATTTATTTACTCGTCACTATTTATTTATATTTGTAGATAGAACTTTTCTTCTGAATGAAAAGAATACTTTTTCACAAGAAAATAATATAGCACGTTTGTGCTTACTTTCGCACTCATTTTTTTTCTTATACATACATAAAAATAAAAAAAAAAATTCCAATTAACAATTTGTTTACAATACGCAGGTAAAAATTTCAACAATTGACTTTTAATTTTTGACAAAAAAACGTTTGGTATTTTCTTCTTTTTTTTTTTTTTTTTATTTGAGAACAAAACTTTCTTCTTTTTTTCTTCAAATTTTCGAAAGTTACATTTGTATTGTAGGTAAAAACGGTGAAAAAAAAACAAAACATGATTTACTAACTATTTGTTGAAATATCTATTTAAAATAGCCTCAAAATTCAAATAACTATACAAGAATTTCTTGATAAGTTTTTAACGAGTAATAAGTCGATACATAATGTGTCATTTAAACATTTTTTAATCGAATTGTACAAATAAACTTCTAGTGTAATGATTTTATTTTGTTTCTATCTCCATTTTGTGAGTGGAAATTGTTCTTTGTGATATTTAATAAATATCTTTCATAAATCTAGAGACTCTTTTTTAAAAAAATGATGTATTTTATCTTAAAAATTAAAATTTTGTATCGATATGAAAAGACGTTCTATTTAGATACATGCACTGATGAATAGATTGTTAGATTACCAAGCAGAGAATAAAGAATACAATATCTTATTCATTTCTATTATTATAACAAATGTATAATTTAATACAATGGATTTTCGATTATTTTTTTTTTCCTAGTTTTTTTTTTTTTTTCTTTTGACAACTAAACACTTCAGAACCGTTTTGCTGTTTTATTTTTCGTTAAAAATCAAAACTATTAGATTGTTCAGTGGCAAATTGGATTTAATATGTTCATGAAGAAAGTCAATAAATTTGATATATTAAAAGAAATCACTTGAGAGACACACTAAATCGTCAGACATCAATTGAATGTTGACAGAGCATTGTGATCAGTCATCACATAATTTATACGTATAATTCTAATATTGAGAGAAAGTATCTGTTATTAAAGCGTGGTGGATTTAGTGACGAGAAGGATACACTATTCCCTACAAAAATAACTTTTACAGTTTTACCTAGCAGAACTTGGCAAAAAAGCTGACTCATACCACCTCCGTGAACATTGAAGGACGTTCTTTTCTAACGGGTACTTCTCCTTCTCATGTACCGTCTACCATTTTCTAGAAATCCTGGATCTGCCACTGTATAATTTTCAAATTGTGTGATGTTTCATCTGTTTTTATTCCAACTTTTTTTGCTAGTAAAGTTTATAAGAGTTGTAACCGGTTGAGTATTTTCCGATCGATCCGGTTTATTTTTTGGACCGGTTTTTCGACCGGTTAAAAAAACCTTTTCAACTAGTGAAAAATCGACCGATTTCAAGTAATTATTTTAACTAATGCAGAATCGTCTGGTTAAAGATCTTTTTCTAATTAAATTAAACCCTTTACCCCCGGATGTCCACATCCGTGGACATTGATAAAATCGATAGACAAACATAACGAAGCGTCATATCAGAACCGGATTTTGTTCCAATCTTAAAGATTTCATCAGCTCACGACTGGTAGAAAAGAAATTTTTTTCGATGAATCTTGACTGAGATAATTAACTTTTGAAATTAAAGAGTTTCAAATTTTTTTAAAAGCTTTTTCCATAGCCTTAGTAATACAAGGATTTTCAGATGTGGTGGTAGATAACTATTGCTACACGAATCCTTTCTACAAACACACAAGAAAAAAAAATTTCTGTGAAGTTGTCTTGATGGACCGTGTTCAGTACTGCAATGTTCACACCTGTGGACATTAGGGAGGAGTGACATAAAAAGTATTGATTTTTAAACATATACCCATTCTTTCTTTCTCTTCTTTTCTTTTAAGATGCAGAATCTTATTTTTCGTTTTTCTGCCATAGTTGGATAGTGCACATCGAGTTGAATAGAAAAAACTTAATCTCACAATTTTAGAACACATTTTTCAGTTAAAAAAATTTTAAATATCGACTTTTCAAAAATATGTGAAAATAGGCAAAATTTTGAATAAAACTCAAAATTCAACCATTCGTTCTATTTTTAAAATTCCAAATAATTTTTTTCTTATTCTCCATTAAAAACTGGGTCTACGAAACGGATTTTGGAAATTTTAAAACTGAAATTTACTTCGAGAACCGTTGAAGACGAGCAGGATGGTAAAAGGTTCGCTGGCTAATCTTGCAAGCTTATCTAGTCCTAGGATTTGGAAGATAAAATTCTCTTTCATACTTCATTCTCACTTATATACTTATGAGAAAAAAATGTATGTACCGATTTTGAAAAATTTGACTTGGTTGTCGAAATGTTCAATTTTTATGAATTGAACATTCATAAAAAAATTTTTAAATTTTTAATTCGGCGAAGAACCCTTTGAAATTGGGGCTGTCCTTGGCCATGTTCTCGGTTATTCAGATTCAAGGTCAAGAACTGGGTCGAATGACATGGGTACCAGGAGTTTTGAATGATCTCGAAGTTTTTCGTTTTTTTCCGAAAATCCAAAACCAAAATTTTCACCTTAACTCCAAATATTCCGCAAAATACTGAGATTCGTGTCATTCTATCTAGTTTTTTATCCTGATTCCGAGTTTGACCTTGTTTCTGTCACAGTGTTGCATTTTGACACAACAAGTTCGGACAACACAAAGAAAAAATTGCGTCTTTCATGTCACCTAGACAACTTCATTTTAGTTTGAGTATGGAATGGGCATAGTGAGCACTCAAAAGCTCCACTTTAGCAGTCACCTTTCCTGGATCTTCGAAAAAATCCCCTCTGGGGCTAAAGGGTTAAACAATAAATAATGTCTGATAACAGAAAACTATTTTGTTTGAGACAAAACACTGTTCATTTGTCTCGTTAAACCAACAAAAAACCGGCCGGCTTCAAATAACCTTTTCAATCAGTAAAAACTAGCGAGCACCGACCGATTAAAAATTTCAACTGGTCCGGTCCGACCGAACCGATGTCGATTTGCCGGACCGAGTACAACTCTGTAGTGAAGAGGCATTGGCCAGTTTACTATCTCTTGAGACAATAAACTTGAAGAGCTCATACTCCTATAATAACTGTTCTACAACAGATAAAGCTCACTGATTTAGTCATTACCACACCGTCACAACATTTTTTCAGGAAAACATGTTAATGTTTTTTTCTTTCTTTTTAAAAACATTTTCATCCAAATGTATTATTTGCCCAAACGTTGATTTTGTATTTAAATCTAAAAAATCTATCTTTTTGAAGAATAAAGAAATTAATGTGTAATTAGTGGTCGCAACAGTGAAAGAATATATAACAGTTTTATTTTACTAGACAGAGTCATCAACATCATCATCAGTCGGCTACCCTTGAGCAGGCGATCACGACAGAGTGAAAATAAAATGGAAATTAAAAGTATTTTTAAAATATTGTATGAATGAAAACTTACGGGCTTAGGATTACAGTTCTTTATCGTATTTTTAATTTAATCGTCTACTTTTTCATATTTATTTCTTTTAGTTTGTGTATATGTTCCAATAAGCACTTGAGTTACCGCTATATTTTCTCGGTATTAATTGATCAGATGATTCCGCAATAGAACATGAAACAATCAAATCAAAAATATGGTAAATCATCTGGGATGTTGTTTCACGTGTAGATATTATTTTAAAATGGTTTGATCTGTCTTTAACTTTTGAAATAAACGATTTATTGTTTACTGCACAATACTAACTATTATTCGTTTTCTTTTGTATTTTGAATATAATCTATATTTTATACATGAATAATTAACTATTTATTAATTGTTTTGATGAGCTTGGATTTTTATTATTACCGATCGATTAAATTTCACAAAACTCTCCCCGTTTAACAAGAGAACAAAGGAATTAATATCGCGTTTTAGTGTCAGCACGGTAGTGTTGTGTGCGGAAACATTTTTGCGCGTCGGTGTCATGCTACATGTAGAGACATCATCAGTAAACAAGGCGAACAGTTATATGACGACCAAACCTCAGCTGTTGGTGTAGATGTGTCTGCAACAACGTTTGTTGGTTAAAGAGAGGAGTTAATAAGACAGGGAACAAATTCAAAACACACAGTTTTCACATTATATTTACAAGAAAAAAAAAGTGTTTTCTGTAGTCCGTTCCAGCAGTTGAATTGAAAAGGACATTTTTAGAAAAAAAATTAATTAAACAGAAAATAAACACATTTTTAATAATTCAATATAAACAAGTAATTCCTGCGTGGAAAGTATAACAGATATTTTTGCAGAATACGAAACATAAGCATTATTATGATCCATCAACGACTTAGAACAAATTGAAATGATTATTTTATCTCTCATATCATAAATGGTAGGTCTTTATTTTCTTCTCCGATGCCGCAATATAACGAGCCATATCGATTTGTTTCTGGTATATGAAAAAATGACATACCAAGCCATTTTAAACTTCGTATTTGTATTAGTCCACTTCCACGTTCATATTGTATACTCCATGATCCTAAATGGAAAACAGAATAATTATAGTAAATTAAATAATAAATAAGAGAAATAACAAAGATTACCTTTTGGAATATCTTCATCAATTGTATCGAGAAATTGAGTACTTTTATCAAGACTAGCACGGAATAATAAACTTTTCTGTTGTAATTGAATTGGTTCACGAAAATGGAAATAATTACGTAGTTTACCAGCTTCAGTAGTCGTTAAACCTGAAAGAAAAAGACGATTAGTATATAAACGTCGAAGATGAAAATGTATTGGATGCTTAACAAGTTACCTTCAAATGTTCTGTTCCGTTCAACATCACCATTCGGCTGTAAAATGTACGAACCACGTGGAATGATTAATGAGTCTTGTTCAATTTGCCATAATACTGCAGCTAAACGTTCTTCTTCACGCAATCTCGACTAAAACGACAGTGTGATATGAGTGGTGAGAAACATCTCATATCAGACGGCATGGCTTAGTGGTTATGTTGTTCATCACGTATTGCAATGTTCGAACATCTTTGTCGCCAGGTTACGTAATAACCTTGGACAAGTTATTTATGCCTTAGTATCTCGGCTCACCATCCCTCTCACAGTGTGCATTTTTTCTATGTCATGCAGACATGTCACTTTTTTGGTCAGAAATAATTTTTTTCGCTTGAATATAACTGACTATCACTCAGAGAGTCACTTCAGAGTAAAAAATGTATATTCACTTCAGATGTGTAGTCACTTCAGAGTAAAATAATCTAATATAAGGAGTTTCACATATTAACTACTAAAGAGGCTACCGTGCCAAAGGAAACTAGTTCAAGATTTTCGATTTTGTACAGTAAAGAAAAACCATACTAAAAAACTACCTTTTCTTCTTCGACGTTTTCCTCTTCTGTTCCTTCGTTTGTTACTGTGAACTTTTTCACCTCAAATTCGTGTGATGCATCACCCGTAAAACGTCCTTGGCACGTTGGTGATAATTCTTTTGCCTCCTCTGTAGCAGGCGTTAACATTGACCAATTAATACAATCTTTACTAGATGAAAAATAAAGTCATAATATAAATCAACTTTTAATTCTTCAAAAGCGTTTTCTCTCAATATACCTATACAAAAATTGTCGATCTTTCAATTCATTTTTTGCACGTCCTTGTATGATAAAATAATCGTCGGAAATACCTAATATTTTACCCCATAAATGAGCAGATTTAAATTTGTATTGTTCCTTGAGGATAACCATAGATGTTTGAAGCGCAGCTCGTTGTTCAGGACTAAAGACGATACCACTGTAGGCAAGTAAATCAACATCAAGACTGAAATTTTTAGACTCAATACCCATCTTTCTTTCTATCTGTTTTTAATCTATTGCTAAAATAGTTTTGTGAAGAAGTAAGTATCAAAGGAGTATTTGCAGAAACCACATGCGACCATGAGTAAAAACGTTTGATTCTGTTTCTACTGTATAACCTCTACAAATACGATTTTTACCTCTTATCTAGTGCAAAGCTAAAGATTATTAGAATGTAATAAACTCTATTGATTTACAAGCCTCAAGAAAGTCCTAACAGATCAAATGATTAAAAATAAAAATTCCAGCGTTGACTTGTTCGCCTGTATTATGATATATATATCATAGTACAGGCGAACAAGTCAACGGCCTGTCCACGTAACGGTCGCCTTTTCGTGATTCCGTCACGATTTTTGTTGTTTTGCGAGCCTCTTGGCGCTTGAACAAAAGGAAACTCAAGAACCGTTTACATCTAGTCTTGTAGAGAAAAGTGACCTGAACA